GGATACCTGAACATAGGTAGACAGACATGGCGCGGCTGGTTCATATAAAAACAAGACAATATGCGCGCCCAGGACCGACGGGTGAAGAAAAGGTGTGTTAGGCGTTACAAACAGGACAATTTGCGGCTTCCGGTGTTAGTAGTAAGCGAAGTACGTACGAATGTAAATACTCATGCCTCGCATGCGCAGTTATTGTCGCGAAAGCTACGAAGATGTAAAAAGAAACGAGTCGCGCTCCGTACACGTCTGGCGAAAAGTATAGGTGACGTCACCAAGCATACCACATCCTTGGTGCGTTGCGAATACACCCTTTGTCTTTTTTACTCTTTTCGTTGAGCTAACGCGCTGCACTTCCACCCTATTTCCCAGCCGACGCCAGACATGCCTTCGCCGATCTCGACGCCGTCCCTGGCGGCACGTCAGATCTCCAGCCGTTCCCCCGTTTACGAGCGCACGCGCCATAAACCCCCCAGGTTCATCGTGTCCAGATGCACGCGTTAAGAATGTGGGCCACGTCGATACCATCTCTAATTCACAGCCAATAAACGCGGCACGGCGCGAGACGACGGGCGGCCGGTCCCCTTATGTGCAGCACCGTGGCGAAATTCGCCCAGCCGCGCCCGAGAGCCGGGCGAAACTGCGCCAGCCGACGCTATCATGGGACAGTACACAGATGGCCGGTATCATGAGACCTCCGAGCGAACTATTTGCCGAGATAAGCCGGAGCAGCACGTGCAGCTATCCGAAACGTCTCCACTCATGAAGCGCTTGCAGGCTACAGACGCAACGGGCCAAGGGGCCCATCAGGCTTCACCTGCACATGTTCTTCAAGTTAGCTCATCGGTGCAAGCCCGCCTCTCCACCTCGACTGGCATGGCGCTCTCTTCCGAAACTCCCGACGGGCTCCGTCGTGCTGATGATGGATTGCCGATTCCCACTTCGGATCATCACGCGTCCATCGATCAGCGTTAGTCGGACAATCCTCCAGAGGCGCTTACCGTGTTCCAATCCAGCAGACCACTCCTTCCGCACGCTAAAATCCCGCCAAAATTTGACAGAAGACATCCGACTCGCGGCCTCCGAGCCGGGCGCCCCGCACATTGGACAAACATTGTTCTATGGAGATGAGGCGAGCTCGGATTCCGAACCGCCGCTCGCCGTCGGAGAAAAGATGATGGATTTGATTGTATTGGACGTTAACTAACCTACATTATCGGTCCGGCTGTCGGGCCGGTGCTGATACCAGGACCGGCCTGAATTGCCGATGGTCCGACCCGGCGATGACGCCGGTGTGCGCCGGCGTGGCACACGCACGGGCTGGCCACCGGAGTTTCTCTTCACGAGGCATCCAGTAAAATGATGCCACGTTGTGAAATGACCGCCGGCACAGGAGAGGATCAGAGGCTGGGCACGAAAGGTCCATTCTACTCCATTTCAGTGATCTAGAGGGCTAATGCTGTCATACATAGATTGCAAATTCGGTGTACTATGCGTAAAGATGGGAACCGTGCACACGGGTTCGTTAAGTAACGACACGATATCTTAAAATTATCAGAGAGCAATGCTGCGACATTTCCGGGGAAACTTAACCCGGAAAAGGCTCTCATGTTCGTAACATATATCTGAAACAGTTAGCTAATGACAGAGCTGCGCAGAATCACAAATGACGGGCAAACAAGGCCTGACACCGATACGAACGACGGGGCCGGAAGACAGCACCATATGGTGGCTATTTGATCGAGTTCCGAGCTGGTGCGACAAACGCCACGCGACGGTCGGCCTGGCAAGGTACAGTCGGGCAAGCTGATTCACCAGTACTTACACTGGTTTAATGAAACACACACAGCGAAAACAGAACAGTACGGCTCCGCGACTCAAAACAAAGACCCTGTGCGCATAGCAAAGCTCCACCTTTCCAAAGAAAGCATGGTAAAGCGCGCCCTCCATTTGTAAGCGGTCCTAACGTCGCCCCCCCCCCCCCCCACCCACCCACCTCGCCTCACCTCACCTCAACTCACCTCACCTCACCTCACCTCACCTCACCTCACCTCACCTCACCTCACCTCACCTCACCTCGCCTCGCCCAACCTCACCTAGCACCCGTCATCCCGCCGCGGGGTTTGAACACACGAACCGGAGGAGATCACCAGCCACGCCAGGTGGCGTGTCGACCACCCGTCGGACGGCGACGACGGCCTGACCTGCCCCAGACCACTGCGGCTCGATACGGCATCACGGATCAGCGGAGGACGTCACGGCAAGCCCCGCCGGCAGCCGCCCCGCCCCGCCCCGTCCGGCTAACGTTTCTTGTACAAGATACAGTTAGGAGACGTCCGCCATCCGACCAAATGACGCAACCACTGATTTGTCTCGGAACGCCATTATCGATTGTGTTCTCTCAGATGCGTCGTCTCTACTATTCTATACCGATCCCTTTCCCAAAATTCAATTCAGAGCAATTTTCGCGCCCCGTTTTCCCGCCTCTCTTCTCACACGTCGCTGGTCGTAGGCTTGAGTGACCTTCAGCACTGCCGGAGGGCGCCAGACGAAGGCGGTAGTCGTCCATCCGTCGCCCCGCTCGGGCGTCCGGTGACACCGCACCGGTGCGGCCGCCGACCGCCGGGTCCAAAGTCTCTGGGCCAGAGCCTCAGTGTCCCGCGGACATAAACAGTTCTCGGCACGACCGTCCCGACCAGGGGAGCAGCGGTACGAGCTGACCATGTCACGAGCCCAGGACGGGGGTAGATAGGACGCAACACGTGACGGCCATGGGAGTGGCCGGCTGCCGCCCGTCAGCGCGTGCCGCGCCGGCGGCAGGGAGGCCGACAGCCGGTCACGGCTCGGCTCTGGTCAGGCCCGGCCGGCGACCGGACGTGACCCGCCGCCGGCGCCGGGCGTGGACGGCACCGGCGCCGACTCCGAAGACGTCAGCGGCGACGTGCTCCGCTCCCGTCTGCACGTGCCGTGGTCCACCCCGCCGCGCGGGCTCGGCACGCAGCGAACGGTGTCACGCAGCACTCCGAAGAAACCGCATGCGTCTGACTGGGGACGAGCGATGCCCAGACCGTGCCGCACGCAGGTCACAAACGGGGCCCGTCAAAATCCAGGCCGCCGATGGCTTTCTCTCCGGTCACGGGATGACGACGACACACGGGAGGCAGTGTGGCGGACCATCGCACGCAATGTCACCCACCCACGTCTGCACGACCTCGATAATGTCCCCACGTGCTGTCGTTGAACAAGCGGCTGCCCTTTACCCTTCAGCTCCAAACCAACGTCAGCCCTCGCCATAATCGGGGCTAGGCCACGCAGCAGGAGAGCTCAGGGCAGGCAATCGCGTCAAATGCCCGCATTACGTCACTGGTACACAAGCGGCCTTACTGTCAGCAAGCCGGCTGCGGTGTGTCAAGCCTCAAAGCTGACGACAAGCGCCTGTCACCACCACGACGTGAGCTCACTGTTTTCACGCCGCCGGTCCACTAATCTCCTGCCCAGTGCTGACGCGCCACCGGCCAGGTGCTGGTCCGCGCCCGTCGTCTGACCTCTCCGCGTGACGTCACCGGCACCGGAGACGCCCTCTGGCCGCTGAGTCAGTTGTGTCGGCGAGCTCTGGCGCTGATCAGCACAGCGACGCCCCCGGAGATCGGCTGACTCCGTCCCCTCCCCTCACTACGGCGGCTGGGCGCGGCTCCAGAGGTCACCCAGTCCAGCGAAAGCACCGGTCGACCAGGCAGCCGGTAGCGTTCGGTGCAGTTCGTCGCTACTCAGAGTTAGAGTGATGGCGGTCCTGCATGAGCCGCGGCGCTGATCACGGTCAGTGCTGCCCGACAGTTCACTTCTGACAGTCCCCAACAGTCCCAGGCAGCCCCAAACAGCCCAAGACAGTCCCGGTCAGTCTCAGACCGTCTCAGATAGTCCCAGGCAGTCCCAAATAGTCCCAGACACCCCCAGACAGCCCCGGACGGTCTCAGACTGTCTCATATAGCCCCCGACAGCCCCAGACAGTCCCAAGACAGCACCCAGACAGTCACCCAGACAGTCCCAGACAGTCCCAGACAGCGCCAGACAGCGTCGGACGCCATCGTCATGCGTCAGCGGCGGCCCCGCCTGGTCGTCCTCGGAGCGACCCCGCCGAACGGCCGGCCGGGGAGGGACGGGACTGGACTCGACACGGGACGGGACGGCGGCGGCACCTCCGGTCACAGCGCGGCGCGGAGCGGGCCGGCCGGAGAGGGACGGGACTGGACTCGACACGAAACGGGACAGCGGTGGCACCTCCGACCACAGCGCGGCGCGGAGCGGCCGGCTGGGGAGGGACGGGACTGGACTCGACACGGGACGGGACGGCGGCGGCACCTCCGGCCACAGCGCGACAGGTGCCCGTCACCACCAGAACTGGCCCAGGGAATACATGGCATAGAGGCGCAGACGCAGAGAGCAAGCAAACGGCCGGCCGGCAGGTTCGCTACACCACTGCATAGCTGTGGACTGTCGGACATCTGGTGCAAGATGTGTTGGAAAAATAAACGGCTTTCGTAGCGGCCATGGCCCACCACCCCGCCATAGTCATTATGACAGGACGACCGAAGTCAGACGCTGCTGGAACACCACTGCCATTGCTAGCTCCGACAAGTGATCTCAACGACCGACGTCGATGACTGTCTGCACACTGGGGCAAGTTGAGGACGTCCAAATTACGCCGAAGCATCAAGTTGGGATGGGTGACGGGCAGGTCAGATCGACATCACTGTTCAAGTCGCATCCGTTAAGCCCAAGCCTGATGCGGATGGCAACAATCCGAGTATGTTCAGTGACGTCAGATCAGGCCGTCTGTCCTGTCAGCCGGACCAGACCAGACCGGATCAGACCAGACAAGATCAGACCATATCAGAGGAGAACAGAACGGAACAGAACAGAACAGAACAGAACAGAACAGAACAGAACAGACCAGCCTAGCCCAGCCAGGACGGCACCGGATCAGGTCACACCGGGTCACTCACATCTGGTGTGGCGCGGCGCAGCTGTCTCGCCCCCACCCTTCCCAGGGGTGTTGAGCAGACGGTCGAAGATGAGGATCCACTCCTGGTCGTCATCCCAGAGCATGCTCGGGCCGCGGTGGTCGCGCGCCTCTCGACTCAGCCGGCGGCTGGCCGAGGCGGCCTTCCCCGGCCGCCCGTCGGCCGACTCCGACTCGGAGCCGGACTCCGGCTCGGGCGCCTCGTCCATCACGACACCCTCGTCGCCGTTCGACGCGTCGAAGTCGGGCTCGCGCGGCATCGCGGCCGGCCCCGGCGGCGGCCACCACACCTCGCCGTCCGGCCCGGAGATCGATCGGCCGTGTCGCCGCGGCGGCCGGTGCCCGGTGCAGGGCCGGGGTCACACTCCCGCTCCCGCAGCCGGGTCGTGCCACACCGACCACACGCCCTGTCGCAGTGGGCCAGCGAGCGGCGGCGGCGCGGCCGGACGTGCGCAGCTGTCGCGAGGCGTTCACCTCGCCGCCAGAAAGACAGCCGACGCCACCCTAAACGGCGTCCGTGCCCCGGCTGACCTGCGTGCGGCGCGCACAGTCCCCGCACCCGCGCGCGCGCGGCCGGCGACGCACAGTGGCCCCGCAGCGGCGTCCGGCGGCGTCGGTGCGGCTCCAGGCCCGGGCCGGGGTATCGATCGTGTCACGCCACCGCCGCCGCGCCGCCGCCCTCCACTGCTGACGGCCGAGCGCCGACTGATCTCCCGAGCAGGAGGCCGGCCGGCCGGCCGGCCGGCCGGCCGCGCCGACGCCGTCGCCGGTCACGTGGTGTAAACACGGCGGCCGGCGGCGGCGGCGGCGGCGGCGGCGGCGGAGCGCCGAGGGTCGTTGGAGTGCCACCGGTTGCCAGCAGTGATACGGCGGTGAGTCCACATGGCAGGCTCGGCCGACCGATGGCCCTGCTGACCTTCGCTTCCCGCAGTAGAGTGTCGCGTAACGCGCACGCGTGCCTAATGGTTCCGGCGGCGGCCGCCCCAGTTCCGTTTGGCGTGGCGCGGCGCTCGATTCACTTTTCCCGCCACGCCACGCCCCGTGTGCAATAGTACAACCGGATCAGGGGCGTGCGGCGGCACGACCGCCCGCGGCGAGCTAACGCTGCTGCGAGGGGAACTGTCTTACTGACATGGAGCTTCGTTGGAGTAAGGGAGGATGGGGATTTCCCATCCTAGCCCCGGTGAAAACAGGGCCATGGAATGATTGGAATATACACATATGCACATATGTATATATACATGTATATGTGTGTGTGTGCGCGCGTTGATATATATATATATATATATATATATATATATATATATATATATAATATATATATATATAACATATTGGCATATTGATATGGATGTTCGGATATTCATCCTTTCAGCGGCTCGCCGCTTCAGACACAGATAGAGGAAAACCAGGCAAATCGCCTCGACTATTTAGGAAGTTCGAGGACACCGAGCTCAGAAGCTGTGAGCGCATCATCACGGAAGGCAAGCTCTCTCCACCCAGAGGACTGCGGCACGGGCTCCGTAACAAAGGGATGGTTCTAAGCCCGACCGTGCCGCCACACCGCCCTTCCAAAGCCAGTCGGGCCGCTCGCAGCAGCGGCCTGCGCGGTGTTGTTCAGCCGGTCGTGGGCAGCCGCCGGCAGGCGGAGATTACAGTAGTGCCCGCCTTCGAGCCACGCAGACGGGTGGTGCTCGCAGCGGACCTACACTCACGCAACCTCCCTCTGCAGGCGGCGCCGGCCGGAATGTAAGGAACTACTGCAAACGATACACGTCACCCGCCAAGTTACATTCAACGTGGAGGTCGCGGCACGCGTCCGATCCGCGCCCCTACACGAGCCGCTAGACCCCGGTGACGCAGACCCCGCCCGAAGCTGAAGCTTCCCATCCCCCACCCCCGTCTCCACCGACGGAACGTGGTGGCAAATGAGATGGCCACATACACAGCCTCAAGGCGGACGTCACGACACCCGCCTGCACAATGGATACTTTGCAATAGCATGGGCCGCTGGGCGCGGCCAGGAACTAAGCAATGGTGGCAGTAAATATCACGTGCCAGCAGCTCGCTGCCTTGAAACAGCACACCATCAGAGCCCACTCCACTATGGCTGGCGAGACATTAGTGTTATCACGGGACCCCAAGCATGTGAAAACGTCATGAGCAATCACATCAAACGGACGAGCCACGACATGTCGGACGTGCCGCAGGACCCTAAACATTCAGCATCCCGTCTCGGAGAGCGTGTGCCCAATGCGGAAACACCGGGCACATTCCGGCGCTCCCCGGCTTTCTCAGGCGGCGCGAGGCCGCCGCGCCGGTCAGCCGGCCGCCAGGGCCACGCCCACCGCGACCTCCCGAGCCGAGTGTGTCTGTGGCTCGCCGGCCGTCTGCGATTGCACCCACGGCCTGACTGTGCCCGGACCAGGCGGCGGAGTCCTCCGAGACGGCCTGACCGCGACCGGACATGACCTGACTCGGCTGGAGCGGAGTGCGGCACGAATCCGGCCCGAGCTGAGCGGAGTGCGGCACCAGCCCGGCTCGGCTGGAGCGAAGTGTCGCACCAGCCATGCTCAGCCGCAGCTGAAAGCGGCACCAGCCCGGCTCGGCTGGAGCTGAGTGCTACACCAGCCATGCTCAGCCGTAGCTGAGTGCGGCACCATCCCGGCTCGGCTGGAGCGAAGTGTCGCAACAGCCCGGCTCGGCCGTAGCGGAGTACGGCACCAGCCCAACTCGGCTGGAGCTGAGTGCTGCACCAGCCATGCTCAGCCGTAGCTGAGTGCGGCACCAGCCCGGCTCGGCTGGAGCGAAGTGTCGCACCAGCCCGGCTCGGCCGTAGCGGAGTACGGCACCAGCCCAACTCGGCTGGAGCTGAATGCTGCATCAGCCATGCTCAGTCGTAGCTGAGTGCGGCACCAGCCCGGCTCGGCTGGAGCGAAGTGTTGCACCAGCCCGGCTCGACCGTAGCGGAGTACAGCACCAGCCCAACTCGGCTGAAGCTGAGTGTTGCACCAGCTCGGCTCCGCCGTAGCAGAGTACGGCACCAGCCCGGCTCGGCCGTAGCGGAGTACGGCACCAGCCCGGCTTCGCTGCAGCGGGGTGTTGCAACAGCCCAGCTCGGCCGTAGCGGAGTACGGGACCAGCCCGGCTCCGCTGGAGCGGAGTACGGCACCAATCATGCTTGGGCGGAGCAGAGTGCGGCACCAGCCCGGCTCGGGCATGACGGGCCGGAGTGCGGCACCAGCCCAGCTCGGCCCTGACGGGCCAGAGTGCAGCACCAGGCCGGCTCGGGCCTGACGGGCCGGAGTGCGGCACCAGTCCGGCTTGGGCCTGACGGGCCGGAGTGCAGCACCAGCCCGGCTCGGGCCTGACGGGCCGGGGTGCGGCACCAGTCCGGCTTGGGCCTGACGGGCCAGAGTGCAGCACCAGGCCGGCTCGGGCCTGACGGGCCGGAGTGCAGCACCAGCCCGGCTCGGGCCTGACGGGCCGGAGTGCGGCACCAGTCCGGCTTGGGCCTGACGGGCCGGAGTGCAGCACCAGCCCGGCTCGGGCCTGACGGGCCGGAGTGCGGCACCAGTCCGGCTCGGGCCGGGGTCGGCGACAGCGGGGCCATCAGGCCGCACATCACCAGCGATCGGCCACGTCACGAGTCGGGCCGCTCTGGCCGCTCCGCTTTCACCGTCAGCGAGGGCGCTCGGGAGGCGAAGGGCGTCGCAACGGGCTCAGGGAGGGCCGGGGACGGAACGAGACGGGTCTGGGGAGCGCCGGGGATGTTACGAGACGGGTCTGGGGAGCGCCGGGGATGTCACGATATTTCCCGCCGGCAACACTGGAAACCTCGCGTCTGTGGAGGGTCGAGGTCGGGCCGGGGTGGTGCAGACAGGTATACGCTGCCCGTGTGGGAGATATACAGCAACGAACGTCACATGTCGCAAGCTGCATACCTGCGACAGGCTGCTATGTCCATTCCTGCAGCGCTGACCGCAGTGGGGTGAAAGGCACCAAAACGGGCGTGATCGCACATAACAGCGACCTGATAGTGAGTCGTAAATTTGCATAAACAGACGAGAGTCACGCTCTGAAATGCACTGACTTCATTATCGCCGGTTCAGCATGGGGAACGGCGGGAAAACGGCGGAGAAACATGGATCGCCCACGAACTCCATCATAAAAAGGCGCGTTGCGGCTTTACCGTGCATGTCTTTCGGCTCAAGCTGCTGGCAACAGGTCGTAAATTCCGCCAACTTGCAGAAATGACTTTTGCGCATGTATCTGAATGTAACGTGACTCCTAGAACAACTGAAACGCACATTTCAGTTCAGGGAGCTTTTCGGGAATTCGCAAGCAAACTGTGATCACGCCTTGCAGCTAATGTGCTTGAACAGTGAGCTGATCAGTGAGCACGTAGCCAGCGTTGAGTCACGCGCGTGTGCTGGAAGAGGAAGAGGAACGGGAAGTCGTCAGAGGAACCCTGCAAGTTGAGGAGGTCGCACGATATTGCATAAATTATTGTTGCATTTCAATATCCCAGGAACAGTATCCATACGTTTTTGTTTTTTTTAATCCGTCGGGCGCCTTGGGAGGGGGGCGAAGCCGCTTCTTTCGCCTCACCCTCCCCCCCCCCCCCCCGCCCTCCCAGCTACGTCTGTAATCATAAATCAGACACATTGAGGAAAAATAAGCGATGTTCAGAAAGCTCAAATGTCTGTGCTGTTGCCATCTCATGCTAGTCAGCCTTGTCAGCATTTGTTGAGGGATAAAAAGCTTCAGAACTTGCCAACAAGTTTGGGGGATCGACATTTGATAGTGTTTTACCACGCGACACCACCTCGCTGACGTCAAAGTCGTCCGATATTTGAGGGTCGGAGCCCACTTTCTCCGCACTCCCCCCATTCCTACGCCACTGTCATTTTCACGCACACTTGCCGAAGATTGTGTCGTCATTGCTCCATTGTGCTTGAGCATTGATGCACACACGTAGCGAAGTTCGTGGCCGAATACGGTGCCTAATCCACAGCTGATTCTGAACCGTAAGCACGACAGGCACCGGGCCGGCTACCAGAAGCTGATGTCCCAGTCGCCAGTCGTCCCCGCGCCACCGGCCGATGACGTCACACACCGAACACCGCGCCGTGGTGAGCGGGCGCAGCGGCCGGCTGGTGACGTCACACGAGATCCCTGTGGTTAGGGGACGGCAGAGCGCCGGTGACGGGGGCGTGGCGGTGTGACGGTGTCGTCAGCCGCCGCCGGCGCCGCCCCCGGAGACTGCCTCCGGCGCAGCACAGCAGGGAGGAGCCGCTGTGCCGGGGGCGTTGGCACAGCCCGGGATGAGGTGGGGGCTCGCCGCCCGTGTCCGACTATTGACTGGTGCTGAGCGATCGGTGTGCCCACCCGAGTTCCAAAAGATGATGAGCAAACGGCGAGATAATATATATATATATATATATATATATATATATATATATATATACATATATATATATATATATATATATATATATA